AGTGCTTGGTCATCTCCGCGTATTGGTGACGGCAAACCGAACTCTCTGATGGTTTTACTGGTCATCGACGCGCACGTCTCCTCAAGCAGTACCAATGCTAGGTTGTATCACGGGAAAGTAATTGTTGTCTGCAGAGGGCGCCACTCTACGACATTCTTGAGTATGTTCATTTCGGAAACCCAGAAAATTTGGTGCCAGCACGACTCGACCGGATTATGGAATTGATCTCATTACTTCTTTGGTATTTTTTAGAATTTTCTTTTTTTCTACTTGTTCAAATGTACATTTCATGACAGTATACGAATTAGAGGACTCTTGCAATGTTGATTTCACATATGCCTCCCATATGTCTCCAGCAGTATCTATTAATATTTCATGAAATATGTCTGAAACTAAGCTTTCTAGATTTTGATTATTTTATCAGCAAAAATATTGGAAAGCAGGTTTCAAAGCTGCATCTCATAATCCTGAGCGTTTCTCCAAGCATAATTAGGAGCATTTCTTTCTTTAGGGTTTCCTCTAAGTTTAGCATTTCTAGATGTTAGCCGGATCTGCTCGACAGTGAGCGCTTATGATTATTTCCCGCTGACTATTTTCCACGAAAAAAGGCATTCTGGGTGATTTGTGGAAGTGGAATAAGTATGGAAAATTCGAAGTTTGCAATTGTACTATGATAGAATAATTATAATGATTTATGATAATGCAAGCTAAGATATATATTACTACAAACAGTGGATTACATCTATCTACAATCATGTTATACTGGAACAACAGAAATCACTGTGACTTCTCCAAAGCTGAAGCTTCACGAAGTGCTCTTTCTCGTTCTTCTGCAAATCTATTTTTGTGGTGAAGATTCAAATGCATAAAAACGATACTTACTCCTCTTCTCGGCCTTTTTCCTCCTTTTCCTTTCCATCATAAGAAGTTCAGCTCTGGAGTTATGATAAATCTCTCGGAGATCATTCAATCGCTTTTCAAGCATTTCTATAGCGTCTTCGTTCAGTTGTGAGAGATCGCCTAAAATAGTTCCTGCGATTTCCAATCAAAAGTTTCAAAGTACAGACTTACCAAGGGGTGGGAGACCTAGGAGATCAAAGTTATCCAGGGAATGTTCTTGCTCCATAATACGTAAAGTCTTGTTCTTCATTGAAATAAAAGTATCACGTGTGACCGAAGGTTCTGCAAGGAAAAAAAGAGAAAATCATTAGCAAGACCCAAAAGGAGTAGGTTTTCAACAATGTACCTTCTTCTTCCTCTTCCTCGCCATATGAATCATCATTACGGTCTTCCTTACTTGATGTCTTCTGGCGCATGTATTTTCTATCAACAACCATGACGCTGTGTCGATTATACGGAGCTCTGAAGAAAGTGCAGATAAGCCCAAATTGAAGGCAATGGACAGACAAAATGGACCCTTCTCGAATTTTGTGAAGTTAGATAGTAGACCCACCAGGTAGCCCAAACCCTACTTGCCAATTCTTGCGCTCCTGAAAATGCGCTTCAAAACTCCACCAATGACGCTCACTCAGTGGAAGTGGGCGGGGCTGGTGGTTTTGAAGCGCATTTTTCAAGACTAGCGCATGAATTGGCAAGTGGGGTTTGGGTTACGGTGTAACTGGGAGGGGGGGGGGTCTACTACCTAAATCCACCAAAATCCGAGA